TCACTTGCTTTAAAAAATCTGTTTGATAAATTAGGACTTTTTCAGGCTGTGACGGGTCCTACTAGACTGAGTCGTCAGGTCTCTTGGATTTTCTTGTAAGTAGCGACGCTTCTCTTGTTACTTCTGCTGCTACTTTGGATGTGGAAGAGATCTCGGACCATATGTTGGCGTCCCTTAAAATAAAACTTGCTAAACTGAAGCCCGAGACTATTTTAAAAACATATCGTGATTATAAAAACCTTGATTATAACTCCTTTTTGTATGATTTGAACCTTGTTAATTGGGAACATATTTATTCGGTAATTGATACCGATGGAATGGTTCAGTTTTTCAATGATGGGTTATTAAAAATATTCGACAAACACGCTCCGTACGAAATTTCGAAAATATCTAAGCTGGTTAACTGATAATCTTTGATATTGGTGAGGCTAAGAGACAAGGTTCGGACCAAGTATCAGAAAAATAAGTCAGCTGGTGCGTCTGCAGAATACAAAGCCTTGCGTAATCGTGGTAATATAACTGTACGCTCTGAGAAGAAGGCATATCTGCAACACACATTTAAACGTGATCCAAAAAATGTTTGTCGTACTATTAGACATTTAACACGTTCGCTGCCGATCACGCACTAGCGCGTGAAATCCAACTTTGGCTGAGTGCCGGTCTCGCGCTAGAGCGTGATGTACCAATACATCGTATATTTGCTATTGTGAATACGGCATTGTGAATGAGGTTTTTATTATTTGTCGGCATTATCTGAACACTTTAAAATTTTTATTTACTTGGTTGATTTTGGATCATGCGCAGAAGTTCATTATTCTAGCCGGTGGAAAATATAATTCTTTTTGTCGGCCTCTGGCGTAGGCTCCCTAATATTGACCGGCAGCGAACGTGTTAAACTTGTGTTCTAAGTCAACTCCAAACTTGTTAATTGATACCTCTGCCAATAGTTTTAATAACTACTTTTTGAATTCCGTTCCTCAGATTGCTCAAAATGGTAATTTACTCGTAGATATTAAATCTAATGCTATGGGCTACGATAGGATTAATTTTAAAATGTTTCACTATATTATCCCACATCCCACACTTAACTGATTATAACATTCAATATTAATAGGTGCCTGGCAATACGACACTTTCCGGACCATTGGAAACTAGCACATGTTATCCGATTGGCAAAAATATCTAATCCAAATCAGACAGAAGATTTTCTAAAATTAGTGTCCTTCCATTTTTTTCCAAAATTCTTGAGAGGGTAATTAGGGACCAGCTTACAACATATTGCAATTCTGTTGAAATAATTCAATCCACTCAATCAGGTTTTCGTAAAAATCATGGCACCGCCACAGCCTTGCTACATGTTACAGATGACATAATTAGAGCATATGACAAGAATAAGTGTCCATCCCTTATACTGTTGGACTACAGCAAGGCCTTCGATACCATAAATCACGATACGCTGCTTCTAAAATTGAGATTCTATGGCTTGGACGAAATTGTGCTTAGCTTTTCAAGAACCTATCTAAACAACAGAAGGCAGCGAGTACTTTACAATTCGTCCTTATGACAGGTTGCACTAGTGAAGCAGGGTAGTGTTCTGGACCCGCTTCTTTTTTCTCTATATACTGCTGATTTATCGGAGTAACTGAAGTGTCACCAGTTCGCTGATGATACGTATGTAAGTATATTATTCCTTTTCCCCTAGCAATGTAGAGTACTTTGATAAATGAATATCTTCAGGTCCTAAGTAAAGTATCTGAAGCTCATAGTCTTTTACTCAATGAAGCTAAAACTCAGCTCATGGTCTTCGGGAAGCAAAGGAGGAACATACTAACTGATCCCTACTTTAAAATTTTTATAAAAAGAATTTCATTGGCTCCTGTTGAATGTTGTAAAAACCTGGGATTATTCATTGACTCTGAGTTGCGTTTCTCTAGTCATGTCACTAATCTAATCCAAAAGACTTATGGCAAGCTGAACTTTTTTATATGCATAAAGATTAAATTTTAATTTTAATTAGTAATAATTTATCTGAAAATTATACCCTCATATATTCCTAAAGCACTCTTTATAGTTTACAATAAACTAAAATACATACTACCTAATAATATCTAGTCTCAAACCAATCAGTGCGTTAAAAAGTTACGAAAAAGTGCTCAAATTTTTAATCGAAAACAATTATTTACAACCATATTTGAACAATGCTAAAGTTATCTACTTTAGTATCAATCAATTCCATACTATAGAAGATTTGAGATTCACAGTCTATACTATGGACTTTTTATGTCATACCATATTCACGGAAATAATGGTAAATTATGAAAGTGCTAACCCCTCTTGCCTTTAGCTGCAAGACAAATGTACACCACATGGTACAAAACATATAAAGCTTAAAAATTATGATTTCCTTATAATATATTCCCAAAAAAAAATACAAACAACATCCTTACCAGCCAATAAAAACACAGATCCTTGCAACACAGAATTGGGTTCGCTTAAAGTGAGAGTACCAGTTACAAGTAAGGTCGTGTTTATGTTGGAGCTGTGATACACGATAAAAGCAGCGATACTTATTTATAGTATCATTAGTATCGTTGCTTTTATCATTTATCGCAGCTCGAACATAAACACGGCCTAACCCAGAACCTATAATAAGTAGGGTGGTAGCTGCCAAAACCATTCGCCAAGGATCGGTGAAGGTTTTCCTCACTGGAACACTCATAGTAATCTTGGATCAAGGAGTCACTGTCTCTGGACGTATCTGTAACTGCTTTGTAGATCCTGAAAGTTAAGTAAGCATACGAGATCTGAAGTATTTTTCAGATGGGAGTGATGAGATAAATTGCAACAAATATAACTTTAATAATTTCGTCACACTATTATGTTTCTAGTCCAACAAGTTCTTTGTTAATACTTTACTTATGATTTAATTATATTTTTAGCCTGAAGATGAAGGTACGTTTTTTTATTGTTGTTTCAAGTACTTTCTGACATTTTTTCAAAATTTTGTTCAAAGCAAGGACGCTAACAAACACATAGTGGAAATTAAAACATATCTCATGAAATAAAGTTTACTTTATCATTTCTTTGAATACATTTTTACACTTGGCCCACTACTTATATCGCAGTTTTAGGTTTTCAAACATTAACAATTATGCTGATAATACAAATATCCAATAGAATAAGACTCTTCGTAATTAATTTTTTTTTTTTAATGAAAACTTTTAACAAAATGACATGTATACCTGATTTCATCTTTATAAGTACTTTTTAAGGGTATTGAATGCGCCGTTTAAAATATATTGTAACACACGTCGAACTATACGACTACCCAACAAGTTAATACTAATAAAGATGCGAGGTTCATCGCGATTATTGCACTGGGCTACTGTTGGGCCGGTTGTCGCTGGATCCTTCATGATAGCGATTTAAAATTTATTGCAAAACAGGCGGAGGAAAGAGCCATAGGGTTTGCTGCGGGTATAACAGAGACAGGCAAAATGACAAGAAGAATTAATTAAATTTCTACAAAAAAAACTAGATAATTTTTGGGATTCTGGTTTGTGCTATTGTATGCTAACACACATAACGTCGTCTTGCATACGAAAAGGCGTATCTCAAAAAATCGATTTTTTTAGATATGCCGTTAAAATTATGTCTTTAGTCGATATTTTGTTGCTGTTAAATGGGCGCATCTTAATCATTATGCCCTGCGGAGTTATTTAGAAAATTAATTTGGGCGAAACTCAATACAGCGTATTTTAAAAGCAGACAAAAAGGCGGATCTCAATTCCGCCCTTTTGTTTGTTTTAAGTGAAGGAGACTCCTGTCATAGGCAGTCATAGCACCATTTCTACCACAATGTCTCATTCAGGGAACTTGTTTGTTCCATCGCAACTACTGCCTAGTTTCAAATTGGCAAGAAGGAAACAACCTTACGCTATAAATTAGATGGAACATACTGACTTCTTAGATTTTAAAGGTTTAACAAAAAATTTACGAGTTTTGAGTATCCGTGAAAACGATAACAAAAACAAAGTGAACTGGACAGATATCCCGGAGTTTAAAGTTGAATAGAAAGAGCCTGATAAAATGTTCTACAAGTTATCCCATTGTGATGGAACCTACAGAAGCATTACCCTAAAAAGCAAACAGGAAAATATTTTTATTTTGCCTGTTGGGAAGCTCAATGAGCTAAGATCTAAAGTGATAGCCCTTAAGTACGACAACTTGGTTTCACTGTGCTCTGGAAAAGACCAGGTGGTAAATTCTTTTGACCACATTGCCTCCTACATATCGCTTCCTCATGAGTAAAATGCTGTTTTTCTATTGTAGGAACATTTTGCTGGAAGTTTAGTTTAATTATTTCAACATAATTTCGAAGTTTATTGTTAATTTCTTTGTAACAAAAATATATGTTTGTATTACATTTAACGGGGCGCATTTTTTTTTTACCAATCCAAAGATCCAAAAATTAGCAGCACACGGAAGGGCGTATCTCATTTTTTAAAACTTTTCCCTCTTTTTTGCATAATGTCAAAGATATTTAGCCAAAACATATTTAGTGCTTAGCATATGTATTCTTTTTCGGACTGAAAAAAACCAAACTACAGTCAAAAAAACCTTATTGTATTCTTGTGGCAGAAGTTTTGATTGTATCAAGAACTTGAAACCGCTCTCCTGCAAAATTAGAATTTTTTAGATACGCCCTTTCGTATGCAAGACGACGATAAGATTGGCGCTAACTAAAAAAGACACCATAGATTGATTAATTTTCTCGTTTTTTTCCAGTTTGAATTACATTTTTGTAATTTTTGAAGAACTCGTTTCTATTACCGGATTTCTAAAAAGATAGCGCCATTCTTCCCTATATTATAAATCGAATGCAAAAAAGAAATTTGCATGGCCATACTGAGTGTGAAGTTAGGATAAGAGTTTTAAAGCAGGAGATTGATGAACTAAATAAAACAATTAACAATAACGTGGACTCGACTGGGAAGATTATGGAGTTAGAAACTCTCATAAAATCCCTTGAGGCAGAAAACTCAAACCTACAACAAAAAGCAAGAGAACAACAAGATAAATGTACGGAAATTGAGGAGCTGAAGACTAAGATGAAAACAGCAGAAGTTATAATTTCACAGTACTCAAACTCCCTGCAAAGCAAAAATGATAAAACTTCCAAGCTCAGAGACGAACTGGAGGCATTGAAGAATGAATTTAAAAACATGATTACAACCATCCGAGTTTTGGAGATAGCAAATAGGACTTACGAGGAGGAAATTATTGAATTAAAGGGAAATAATATAACACATCAGGGTGAACAGACGAAACATGAGAGTGAAGCTGAAAGCAAAAATAATCATAAAAACCCTAAAAATAATAAAAAGCAGAGAAAGCAATCTAACAACAATAATATAAATAAAAGCAACAATAATGAAAACAAAAATAACATTGATAATGGTACCGATATTAATGAACCTAACAACATTACCGATAATATAACAGCAACAATAAGTGTCAACACCAGTTCTCAAAAAAAACATAAAATATTGTTTCTTACGGACGAGTATGGAAAGTATTTGTTGCCTCCCTCGAAAACCAGCTCTGTGAGAAATTTTATGTGCAGACTATTACTAAGCCAAATGCTACATTTATGGACGTTACCAAGGGGCATGATGGCTGCATTTCTAAGATGACCAGCTCAGATTATGTGATTGTCATGGCTGGTTTAAACAACAATGACATTAGGTTAAGTGATATTACCTTACTCGCAAATACTTGCTTTCATACGAACCTAATTTTTTGTACAATACCTGCGAAATGTGTTGATAATTTGCCATATGGAAATGTACAACATGTGAATGGTAAGATATTAAATGCTGTAAAAAATCTGAGGAAATTTGTAACTAATATTAATAGCCTCGACTTATACAATAGATTTAGATATTCCGACTATTGTAAAAATGGTATCTTTCTTAATAGGAAAGGTCTTACCAAACTAGCTTTTTTCATAAAAAACATGGTTAATAACTTTGATTTATTACAATCACATTCACACTTGAAGCAGATAAATCTGTTACCTTTCAATTCTAATATTAATTTTGAAAATAGTGAAAGCCATGAAAACATTAATTCTTTTGTAAGTACAATAAATTGCAGTAGTTCTCAAAAAAATGCTGAAACAGAGAATCATTTTTTAGCAGCAGCTCACACAATTTTGAGAATAGTATGACGTCTAGAAATTTGGGTGCACATTGTATTTCCATTCTTAGTTTAAACATTCATTCTTTGCGCAGTAAAATGCATCAACTTGTAGTTTTTCTTGATAGTCATAATCCAGAGTTAGTTATGTTGACTGAACACTGGTTGGAAGAGTGGGAACCATGTCATTTAGAAGGTTATAATGTTGTAGATAAATTTTGTCGTAAGGGGTCACATGGTTACGGGGGAACCATAATTTTTATCAAAGAATCGTTTTTGGAAAAATTTAGTCTAGAACCAGTTAATAAATATAACCACTTGTGTATTCAAAATGAATTTGAATTTTCAATAGCTTTTAATGGGAATGAAAAATTGTATTTTATGTGTATTTATAGACCACCTGTTGCCAATGCTACAAGCTTCTTTGAGAACCTAGAGGCAATTTTACTTGATCTGCCAAAAAACTCTAAGATTGTTCTAACCAGATATCTGAATATTGATTTCAATAAGGTCGACAACGCGGTCACCCAGATATTAAAGAACTTGATGCATTCGTATGGGCTAAAAATGTTCGTTTCTTCCCCTACTAGAATAACTGCTGGCACGGCTACTTTAATAGATTACTTTTGTACAAATTTTAGCGAAAATAGTGTTAGGTGTCAAATAATTTCAACTGACATGTCTGATCATGAAGCGTTACTGGCATCTTTTCCCTTACTTGAAAAAACTAAAAAACTGCCTGAAAAATTTGGACGTATATTCTCCAAAAGAAATTATGCATTATTTACTGATAATTTGAACTGTGTTAACTGGGAAAGTGTCCTACTTTCGGATGAACCCATGGATGTGTTCCACTCGCTTTTGTATAATACTTTTAATTTGTCTTTTCCAATTCGTAAAATGAGACCTAGAAAACCCAAGAAATCATGGTTAACAAGGGGTATAAGGACATCATCCAAAAATTTGAGAGTCTTGCACAAAATTAGTAAGTTTAGTAACAACGAAAACATCATTCAATACTATAAGAAATATAGATGCATCTACAGACAAATCATACAAGCAGCTAAACGTTTATTTTATAGTTCAAGAATTTCTCTTTCAAAAAATAAGGCAAAAGAAACATGGTCAATAATTAACGAGCTAAGAGGTAAAAAGGGCCAGTCCAAACAATTGGCACAAATAGATTCAAATGTTCTGAACGAATTTTACTGCTCAATCGCAAAAAAACTTACTTCTAATTTAAACTCTAAAATTGATCCCTTGTCATATCTATCGGAATTACATGTGGAGGAAACCTTTGTATTTGATTACACAAACTCGGAGGAGCTAAAAAATGTTATCAATGAAATAAAGAGCAGATCATGTGGACTTGATGAAATGTCCATAAAAATTTTTCAAAACCTTAATGGAAATGTTCTTGGTTGTTTAGCCCAAGCAATCAACCAATGTTTTGATTCAGGAAAATTTCCTGGCATATTGAAAACGGCGGTAGTGATTCCATTGCACAAAACGGGATCATACTCAGAGCCATCAAATTTTAGACCAATTTCACTTTTGCCCACACTATCAAAAATTTTTGAAAAAATTATTAAAAAAAGAATGCTAAAGTTTTTAAGTAGAAAGAACCTGCTGAGTGCTTGTCAATATGGCTTTCAGAGTTCTAAAGGTACGAATGATGCAATTTTTGCCTTCTTAGAAAACATTTATTTTAGGATAAATAACAAAGAATTTGCAGCTGCCGTTTTCATTGACTTTTCAAAGGCATTTGATTGTGTTAATCATGAATTGCTCTTGAATAAGCTGCAAATTTACGGATTTAGAGAAAAATCTCTTTTAATTTTTAAATCTTACTTGGACGAAAGATACCAAATGGTTAAAAATGGAGAGTCATCGTCGACTCTAATGCCGGTAGATACTGGGGTCCCACAGGGGTCTGTACTTGGGCCAATTCTTTTTTTAATATATCTTGAAGATCTGTTGAAGTTAGTGATTGAAGGTGCTTTTACGACTTTTGCCGATGACAATACAATTACTTGGAGTCATAAGGATTTGCAAGTTTTAAAGCAAATGGTTGCTAATGATTTGGAGAAAATTAGGTTATGGTGCGACTCTAACTTTCTGTGTTTCAATATTGACAAAACTAAGGTCTTAAGTTTTAAGTTCGATTTTGATGACCTTCAATTGGGTCAACAGTCAATATCACAAAGTGAAAATACAAAATTTTTGGGAATTCATATTGACAGCAAACTAAAGTTTACAACTCATATCGAGAACTTGAACAAAAAAGTTGCAATGGGCAGTTACGCAGTTAGACTAACCTTCTGGGAATTGGGTACACAAATGGCTAAAACAACGTATTACGCCTTAGTCGAATCGCATTTGCGCTATGGTGTAGCTTTCTGGGGAAATTGTTGCCAGAATTTATTTGAGTCGGTTTTTATTATGCAAAAGCGATGTGTGAGATATCTGTGTGGGGCCGGATTTAGGGACCACTGCAAGCCCCTCTTCAAAAAAGAGAGGATTTTGACATTGTCTGGATTGTTCATATTGGAAACTGTGAGCTCAATTTTCAAAAAATATAAAGATGTCACTCATGCTTATTTTTATCAAACCAGAAATCACAATGATATTCCTCTTCCTATTCCTAGTTCCAGCCTTACACAAAACTCCATTATTTATAGAAGTGTAAAAATCTTTAATAAGTTACCACCAGAATTTAAATCTGTTGATAATTTCAAAAAATTTAGAAGAAAAGTAAGGGATTGGTTGACTGATAGGGCATACTACTCTATAAATGAGTATCTCTGTTTTTTACTATCTGCCAAAAAGACACACATTATTGTTCCTTGAGTCTGATTTGCGTTTTTAGGTACGTATTTTAATCAACAACTAAGTGTAATCAGTGTGTATGATTTTAATTGTAATGTATTTTTATTTTTTTAACCTTACCATGCCAAACGATGTTCCTATTTTGTTTTGTTGTCCCTTTGAAGATGTTTGGATGGTAGTTTTTGTTGTTTTCGGTTTCATCTGTATAACTCTATATATCCCTACCTCGTTTAATGTTATGCTATTTTTATTTTGAAAGTTTAGGTTTAGGAATTACTGGCTTTGTCAATGGATTTATTTTTTTACGACAATAAAGCATATTTTGATTTTTGATATAACTTCAACTGCTAAAAAGTTACGTTGAAACTAAGAACGCAATGCATTCCTTGTTTCATTCATCTCATTCCCACTAAGGAGTATTATTAGGGGGGGAAGAATACAATGATAGACTGCGTTAGGTGCTTCGCGCAGGAAAAAATATTATGGCATCGAGGCGCATTCAATACCCTTGAGGAAGGACTCATATTTAGCTAAACTTATTCTACAAGAAATGCTTAAATGATACTGGCTTCTGCGAAAGCTTCTGCATGTATTAAAAAATATATTGTGTGTAAACAAAACCTTATCAGTTTTGTAGGTTATTTATATTTTCGATTCAAAAACTTGTATTTTAAAAAACATTTATTTTACTAATTAAAATACAGAGGTGGCAGAAGAAAATATGAGGATCAAATTGCTACAGCAAAAGCTTGAAAACAAATGAACGTTCCTTATGGGACTGCACTGGCTTAAATAAGAATTTAATGCCGATATAGCAATTTGATGATTAATTTACAACAATGTATTTAAAAAGTCATAGAGGAAAGGGGTGAGCACATTAAAGCATATGAAAAATGAATATTTGATTATAAATTATCGTGGCAATTGGTTAATATAACTCCCCCCTCCTCAAGATGTTGCAAACGTGGATTGTTGTGAAAAACAAATCAGACAATTCAATTTGCACAACCTTTTTCTGAAGTTTTAAACTTCCTAAAACAGTAAAACAATAAAATTTCAAATTATGAATAAAATAGCAAGACTTAAACCTATGATTACATATGTGTTCAAATAGGAGTTTGCCAAAAGACAGTTCTTAAGGATCTGTTTCATCTTCTTGAAGGCTTCTCCTAAGTCTTGTTGTTTCGTTCTCTGGAAGTTCAGAGATGTCTATTTTTAGAATCTTCAGTTCAAAATTGAAGTTCGTGCTGGTTTCTGAAAATGTTTGATTTTGTATTTTCACAAAGCATTTTTCAAAAGAAACTAGCGTTGGATCAGTTAAAATTTCCATATGGTTTGTCTTGTCACATTGAATGATTATCGTCAGGCTTTTCTTAGGGATGACTAATAGTTGTCCATTCGGGAGTTGTCTCACTGTTGGTTTCGCATATTTCACTTTAGTGGAAGGACATTGTTGTGGTAGGTCAGTAATCAGGTCAAAGACACATGATTCTTCTTGCTTCAGGTCTTTTTGGTTACATTTACGACTTTCGGGCATTCTAAAGTAGGTATTCTAGTAAATGTCCGTAGTAAGTAATAGGTAAGGGTACTTATTGCTAATGGTAAGTTCTTGGATAGAAATTGGATAGATTTTATACAATATAAAGGGCTTGGGATATATGGGATGTATAACAAATATAATTAACTCATTTTGGATTTTCACTTGAGTTTTCATTGTCTCGTTATACTTGATTTTATTATCAACAGGTATTTGCTGACTTTTGGGTATATTTGTTAATATATAGTAGGTATATTTTTTAGTTTCTTATTGTATATCAATTTATTTTTTCATGATCAGACAATCAGTTTGGCTCCACCATAACATAACATTTATTTTTATATCTTCTATCAACTAGAACATGATTAATTATTGTTGCTGATCAACTTGTAATTCTTGTTGCATTGGCTATATTAATATTTATTTTTTATGTGGAAATTGTTGGGTGAAAACAAATTTTGAGACTTTGTTACCCCAGGGTTTTTTTTGTCCAGTAAATCCATATCGCAGTCTCCAATAATAATCTGGTTCTTAGGGAAATTCACCATTATATTTTCAAGGTCTTGGGCATATTCAACAGGTGAATAAGAGGGAGGCCGATAAATAGCGCTGATTTTCAGGTAACTGGTAATAATCTGTTTACATATCCAACTAAATATATCATTTCTATCAGACTTTTATTTCTCTAAAATTTAGGTTGTCTTTTACATAGATGGATGCATCAGCCCCCATTTCTTCTCTGCAAGAGTGACCTGCTTGGTAACCATTTAATTTAAATAAAGGCGTTTCTTGTTCTGAGAGCCATTTTTCCACTAATATTAATATATCTACATTATTAAGCTGAATAAAACACTGCAATTGGTCCCAGTTATTTTTCACGCTTTGGACATTTATACAAGAATTAATTTATCTATACCTACTTATTTCAGATCTTCATCCTTTTATATATTACTTTGACCACACTATCCTCCTTTTTTCTAAGTAAAATGTTACCATTATCAACCCATAGGTATTTGTATTCGTGTGCTTTTTTGAATTCAAGTCATTTTTTTATATAATTCCA